TCCAATCACCGCCATCAAGTCGATTCCGACTCATAGTGTTTGAACTGCCGACCTTGGGGTTAGTGGTCCAATGGTTAACCCACAGCACCACCAGGGGTCTTTGCCCAGGCACGTGAAAATGCACTCCACAAGGACTCCCCAGATTAGAAGACTGTTGTTGTTGTTAAGTGTCGTTAAGTCAGTTTCAACTCATAACATCCCTTTATAGGGTTTCCGAGGAGCGGCTGGTGGGTTTGAACCACGGACCTTGCAGTTAGCAGTCCAATACTCATCCTATAGTGCCACACCAGGGATCCTTGCTTAGAATATTAACATTTACGTATATATATATATATAGAGAGAGAGAGAGAGAGAGAGAGAGAGAGAGAGAGAGAGAGAGAGAGAGAGAGAGAGAGAGAGCGCTATAGATATATATAGATATAAAACCTACAACCAACCCATTGCCATTAAGTTGTTTCCAAGACTGTAAATCTTTTCCGAAGTAGAAAGCCTCATTTTTATTCATCATTGATGCTGGTGGGTTTGAACCACTGACCTGTGGCTAGCAGTTCAGTGTTTATCAATAGTGCCACCAGGACTCCTTATTTATATATGTATTGTTGTTGTTGTTGTTGTTTAATGCCATTGAGGCGATTTTGACTCATAGTTACCCTGCACAGGGTTTCCGAGGAGCTGCTGGTGGGTTTGAACTGCTGACCTTCTGGCTTGCAGTCCAGTGCTTACTCTACAGCATCACGAGTCCTCAAAACACCAGTTGCTCCTCGAAAACTATATACAGGGTCATTGTGAGTTGGAACCAACTTTACGGCACTTAACAACAACAATGTATGATAAGCATAGAGCTGCTAAGCAAAAGGTTCCTTGGAAACCCTATATACAGGATTCACTATGAGTCAGGACCGATTTGATGGTACTTAACAACAGCAGTATGTCATCTTAAAAGGAACCCTAGTGGAGTAGCAGGTAAAGTGGGCTGTTAACTGCAAGGTCAGCAGGCGGTTCAAACCCAGCAGCTGCTCCAATAAAGATTTATAGCCTCCGAAACCCTAAAGAGCAGTTTGCCCTATATAAGGTTGCTGTGAGTTGGAATGGAGTCCTGGTGTGGCACTGTAGGATAAGCACTGGACCACAAGGTCAGTTTGAACCACAAAGTTGGCGGTTCAAACTCACTAGCCACTCCTCAGAAACCCTATACAGGTTTGCTATGAGTCGGAACGTACTCAGTGACACTTAACAGCAGCAGCAATGAGTTGTAATGGATTGAACAGCAGTAGGTTTGGTATATGCCTTAAATGCTACCCCTTAATATAATTTTTATTCTAATGCACTCAGCAGAAAATTCAAAGGGAATTGACTATTAAATGTCATGAAAACAAATGTTTAGGTTAAATTTTACTATCTTATGGTCATTGTCAAGTACATTTTTTATAATTGACACTGAGGGACAATTTTGGTGTCTGAAAAGTTCCTTAGGATTCTATTACACCTGTGTTTTTTTTGTTTTGTTTGTTAGCCTAGTTCTAAGAACAGGTGGGATTGACTATGGATAATTCATGTGATTCCAATCAACAAACTTCCTGTAATGGCGTTCCATCCAAGAAGAAAAACAGCTTCCTTGTGTCAGAAGATCATGGGCAGAAAATCTTAAGTATATTACAGAATTTTAGAGAACAGAATGTCTTTTATGATTTCAAAATAATCATGAAAGATGAAATAATCCCATGCCATCGTTGTGTGCTTGCAGCATGCAGTGACTTTTTCAGGTACTGTATGCCTCAGATTTTATGATATGGCTAATTAAAGGTTTATTTTTCTGTAACTGCTATTTCTTTCCCACAGGCACATGCAACAGTATTTTTTGTTTCTTAGAAAAGCTAATTAGAAACAAGATTAGTAATTTTTGAGTATGAAAATTTCAGATCACTGTTTTTTAAAGTTCAAGTCTACCTAGGCCAGCATTTTCCAAAGTTTTGTGAAAAATTAGCAAACATAGAATTGTATTAATAACAACAGCACAAAACTGGTTCCTCTGAGGCTGAGGTTAAACATGTCCCAGATTTTTAAAGTCTTCATGGTGCCCTAAAATACATCTACATGCCATCCTCTCTGACATCAATCAGTCTCTCCGCTCTCAGCTCTCTCTGTTAGCTTCAGTAATTTGCTGCAAAGGCTCATAGAACTCAAAAAGTTTTATAAGATTTATAAGGGAAATGCTAGTCTATACTTTGGGGTCAGGTTCAAGTTTGGAGTAATAGTTTACAACTCAGGCTCAGCATGAGGAAACATACCTTCAAGGTCTGGAAGGCTCCCCAGGACGAAGAGCACATTTCTCTCCTCTTCCGTATGGGCAAGTCTCTCAGCTGTCGCGCAGCCATCCATGTCCACTTTTGTCATGTCTGTTCCCTCAGGACTGGCTTCCTCTTGGCTATGCATGCCTCCTCTCTCCCAGGGCTCTCTCTCTTTTTCTCTTTAGTCTTTAGTAGGATAAGCACTGGACTGCTAAGCACAGGTTGGTTCAAATCCATCAGTTACTCCTTGGAAACCCTATACATGGTAGCTATGAGTCAGACCAACTCTATGGCCCTTAAGAAACAAAATAATCTCATTGTTACAGCTCTTGACCTGCATTACAGTATTTGTCACTCCACCACCACTCCTTCTAAAAGACCCTGGTGGCTCAGTGGTTAAGTGCTCGACTGTTAACTTAAACGTAGGCAGTTCAAATTCACCAGTGGCTCTGTGGGAGGAAAGGCTTGGTGATCTACTCTCATACAGTGTACAGCCTTGGTGACCCTGCAGTACAGTTCTGCCCTGCCCTGTATGGTTGCTATGAGGCAGAATCAACTCTAGGACAAGAACTTTTTGACAAGCCTTTTGCCTGAAGGTGATCAAACACACTCACTCTCTGCTTCTCTTCTCTCCTTGCCCTTGCCCTTCTCCTTATATTGTAGGGTTGGTTCATTATATAGGCAAGTGGCTCAATTAATCGGGTGGATTTTTTTTCAAGCCACTATTTACATAATGGAGCCCTGGTGGCACAGTGGGTAAAGTGATGGACTTTTAACTGTAAAGTTAGCAGTTCAAACCCACCAGTCACTCCAAAGGAGAAAGAGGAGAAAGAAGAGGCTATCTGCTCTCATACAGATTTACAGTATCAGAAACCTTGAGGAGCGCTTCTACTGTCCTATATGGTTGCTATGAGTCGGAATCATCTTGACGGCAGTGGTTTTGCGTTTTTTTGTTTTTTTGTGGGGTCTTTGTTTCTTTAGGGTATTTTGGTATTTGCACAACAGGTGACCAATTCCTTTGGTAGGTTAAACTGATCAGTCCTCTAGCTAGACCTTAGGTGGCTCCATCTATTTGCATCACAACTGACATTTTCTGCCTGCAGGGCCTGACTTCTTCCTGGGCAAAAGTGACAAGCTTCTCCAAAGAACTGTTGTTAAGTGCAGTGGAGTCAGAGACTCATAGCAACTCTGTATAGGGTTTCCCAGGAGCTGCTGATGAGTTTGGACCACGAAAGACGTTGCAATTCAAATCGACCTTGAGGCACCACACCATAGCAACTGTAACAACTCCTTAGGGCCACATAAAATTCATTTTACCACAATGAATTTAAGTGTTCAGGGGGAAAAAGTATCTGGGGTCAACTTGGTTTGAGAAATCCCTATCCTTTATCAGAAAAATAAGAAAGTAAGAGTCAATCAAAAATGAAAATGATGTCAAAAGAACAAAAGGAATCAGAGGAAAATCTATTTCAGCTCTGTCTATCCAGCTAGAAGAGGGATTCTAACCCAAAAGATTTAAAGATTTCTTGCCCTTATGACAAAGAGATTTCAGTAGTTAAAAAAAGTACCTCTAAGTATCTCAAGATCACCAGCTTCTTTTCTTGTTGATTCTAAGCAACCTTCTGAATATAATTTGGCTTCCATGTAGATCATTCTACGGGGCATGTTTGAGTCATCGTACTTTAGGAATCCTCTGGGCTGACAGCAGATCTTTGACGCTGTAAGATTAAGGGTAAGACATGAACTGAACCCTGGGGTAGCTATATTGAGGTAATACCACCCTGTGTGACCTCTTGGTCAAAAGATAGACTGCCCTCTTGCTGACATTCTGGCTTTCACCCCTCCTGTTGTGAAGTGCTGTAGAGTCGAGTCGGTTCCAACCCATAGCAAACAGGAGTCCTGGTGTGGCGCTGTGAGTTAATGTGCTAGTCTGCAAAGTCGGTTTGAACTACAAGGTTGGTGGCTCAAGCTCACCAGTTGCTCCTTGGAAACCCTCTACAGGATAACTATGGGTCGGAACTGACTCGACAGCACTTAACAACAAAAATAGGGTTTCCGAGGAGCAGCTGGTGAGCTTGAACCTCCAACCTTGCAGTTCAAACGGCTTTGCAGTCAGGCGCATTAACCCACAGCCCCACACCAGGACTCCTCCTAGTCATACTTAAATCCTTATTGCAGTATTTGGCATTAGTTCAATTTTGGAAGCAATTTTAATTAAAAGTTGGCAGGATATAAGTATACTCACTGCCTTCGAGTCAATCCTAACTCATAGCAACCCTATAGGACACAGTAGAACTGCTCCTTACCGTTTTTGAGAGTGTAGTTCTTAACAGGAAGCACATAGCTTCATTTTTGTCCCTTGGAGCTGCTGGTGGGTTTGAACCGCTGACCTTGTGGTTATTGGAGCAATACTTAGCTCACTGTGCTACCAGGTCTCCTTTGGTATAGGTACAAGTTCCCAATAAATAAACTAAGTAAATATAGAGTAAGATTTAAGAAATAGAAACACTTTGTTGTTGTTGTTAAGTGCTGTTGATTCCGGCCTATAGTGACCTTGTATAGGGTTTCCAAGGAGTGGCTGGTGAGCTTGAACCACTGACCCTGTGGTTCAAACAGACTTTGCAGTCTAGCGCATTAGCCCACAGCACCATACCAGGATTCCTAAGTGTATCTAAGAAACACTTAGATACAACTTAACTTACGTTTTTAATGCTTTTATCTGATTCTGCTGCCAAAGTCTAATTATAACTCATATGCATTGTCTTTATAGAGGAAACCTTATACAGGCATACCTTGGAGATATTGCGGGTTTGGTTCTAGGCCTTAAAAAAGCAAATACCACAATACAGCAAATCACATTTTAGGTTTCTCAGTGCATATAAAAGTTATGTTTACAATACATTGTTATCTATTAAGTGTGTAGTGGTGGTGGTGGTGGTTATGTTGCGTATTCAGTTATGACTGAGAGCAATCCTGTATAGGGTTTCTGAGGCTGTAAATCTTTATGGAATCAGAAACCCTTATCTTTCTCCTGTGGAGCAGCTGGTAGATTCGAACTGCTACCCTTGTGGTTAGCAGTACAACCCATAATCCACTATGCTAGCATTATGAAAAAGTTTGAAATATCGTGAGAATTACCAAAATGTTAACACAAAGGTGCATGCTGTTAGAAAAATGGAGCTCTGCAGGGTTGCCACAAACCTTCACTATGTAAAAATTGCAGTGTCTTGAAACCACAATACAACAAGGTATGCCTGTACTTCATTCAGCAGACGGTATTGATAACTACTTGTTAAACCCACACCTGTAGGGTTTCATGCATTGAACTTGAGAGCAATGCCTTAGTGCATAGTACTCATATATGTGTATTATTCTTTTCTTTTTCCTCTCTCAAGTCACCTAAATTCTTGTTCTTTGAACTCCACTCGTGTCCTAATACTGTGCTGCTCTTAGGTCCTACAGTTCCTTCCCTGTTTTTCCTACCCCAGCTTTTCTTCCAGATTTGTCTCTGCTCTCATGCCCTTTACTTTACCCATGCGCCCCGGTAAGTATAATAGTTAAGTATGAGGCCTCGTAACACTATTCCTTAAGTCTAAAGATCCTTATGAGGATTAAATGAAGAAATAAGTAATTCTCATCACAGTGTCCATTACATTCATTTACCGTTAGCTGCTCTTATTATAATTATTATTCCTTCAAACCCTAGAAAGTAAATAGAAAAACTCTGGTGTGAACCCAGCTTGATTTCCCCATGATGCTTTCATTCTAATAAGTAAAAGGTGGTGGTAATGTGCCATGGAATTGGTTCCAACTCACAGTGATCCTGCATAGGGTTTCCGCGGCTTTAAACCTTTACAGAAGCAGAAAGCCTCATCTTTTTCTTGCAGAGCAGCTGGTAGTTTCAAACTGCTGACCTTGAGATTAGCAGCCTACTTATAACCACTATGTTACCAGAGCTCCTTAAATAAATGTTACATCTAAGCATTTAAATTTGCAGTCCTCAGCCTTGGAAACCCTGTACAAGGTCACTATGAGTCAGAACCGACTCCATGGCACATAACAACAACAACAACAACAAACACTCTTGAAAATGGAGTCCTGGTGTGCGCTGTGGACTAATGCATCAGACTGCCTTTGCAGTTGTTTGAACTGCAAGGTCGGTGGTTCAAGCTCACTAGCTCCACCTTGGAAACCCTATACAGAGTCGCTATGGGTCAGAACTCAAGGACACTTAACAACAACAACAACTCCCTTAAAAATAGAATTAAAAGACAATGGAGTCCTGGTGTGGCACTGTGGGTTAATGTGCTAGACTGCAAAATCAGTTTGAACTTCAAGGTCGGTGGTTCAAGCTCACCAGTTGCTCCTGGGAAACCCTATACAGGGTCACTCTAGGCCAGAACCGACTTGATGGCACTTAACAACAATAGCAACAACTCTTTTGAAAAGAAACCTGGTGGTGCTGTAGCATAAGCACTGGACTGCAAACCACAAAGTCAGCAGTTCAAACTCACCAACCGCTCCTCAGGAGAAAGATGAGGGTTCTCTACTCCCCTAAAGATTTACAGTCTCAGAAATCCTCTACAAGGCCATTTGGAACTAACTCAACAGCACTTAACAAACAACAGTTCTCTTGAATTTATTTGTTAATTAAATATATCAGCACATAAACATTGTCCATAGGACTCTTCTCAGTTTACTCACAGTTTTCATGAGCCTGCTTTTAATTTTTTTAAATTGCTGTTAAAACAGAGTAATATGTATTTTATATTTTTACCTGTTTCGAAACAGTATAAATAGCAGTCTTATAATAATAACCTACTCCCTTAATTGTCCTCAAGGGGCCTTCAAAAAGTTAATGGAAAATAGAATTAAAAGACATTGGAGTCTTTCAACAACTTTTTGAAGTCCCCTTTTATAGTATTTAGCTATGAATACAATTCATATAAAAATATATGCAAATGTAGATAGCGATTCTATAATTTACACTCTTGTAAGACCACAAATCCATAATATTTATGTTATGATCAAACTCACTAGAATATGGGGAAGCAAATATAAAATAAAAATGGCAGAAAAATACTTAATGTTTTCAACCCTTTACAGTATTTGGGAAATGAAAATTATAATTGTAATATAACATCATTTGAGATAAGTAATTGAATTGTAATCACAGATATTATAACCACTTTATGATAACATGATAAACTTGGATAAATGTTGACTGGAAGTTTAAAGATGGGTAAGTAAAGAACTATGAGCTTGCATGTGTTGGTATGGAAAGTGTCTTCTCCAAGAAATGTGGAGACTTAAAATACATAGAATATGACAGAAAATATTTGCTTTTTAAAAATAGCAATACCAGCTAAAACTTTGCATTTATTTGTTCATTTATTCCTCTCAACAGCCCAATGTAATCGTACTACCCATATCCCCATTTTCAGATGAAGAATTTGAAACATTGTGAGATTAAGTAAACTATCCAAGGTCACACAGCTACCAATATAGGTAGCTGAACTCTAGAGTCCATACTCCAGTCTACCTACCTAAAACCCAAACACACTGCCATTAAGTCAATTCCAGCTCATTGTTATCTTAAAGAAGAGTAGACTGCGCCATGGTTTCTGAGACTGTAAACCTATAAGCAAATTGCCTCATATGTCTACCAGCTGGTGGATTCAAACACCAACTACTGGGTTAGCAACCCAATGTTTAACCCACTGTCATCACAGTGAATCTGACTCAAAGTGACTATTTTATAGTGCTTCTAAGATTGTAAATCTTTATGAGAGTGACAGCCTCATCCTTCTCCTGTGTAGCTGCTGGTGAGTTTGAACCATTGACCTTGTGGTTAGCCACCTAATGCCTACCCACCATGCCATGAGGTCCTTCTTGAACTAAAGTCAGTCATTCTTACATCTCAATGAATGAACTGTTTCTGGATATGAAATTAATATGAGTGATGGCAATGTTATTCTTATCCAAACCAATAGTAAAATACATACAATTTTATGTTTTTGCTTCAGTTGAACCAACAGAGTTCCCAATTACTTAAGTTCTATTAAATTTATCATCAGTAAGTCAGAACTTGTTATGAAGAACTTTCAAGTTAGTCTAATTATTCAAATAGGGATGCATCTTCATCTCATTGACTGTTCTAAAAACTTATTTTCAGCTTTTTTTTGCCATTATACCCTACTGTGAACATTTAGATTTATCAAACCATATTCCCATTTCCCTAAAGTGCTAAGTAAAATGGCTCTTTTAAATACAGATTTTATGTATTTTACTTGGTGGATTCCCCACAAACATGGATTCATTGGAGGCATCTAGTATCATACTGTTCTCCATCTTTCCCATGTGTCACTACTGCCAAACTGAATTAATTCACAACACATTTTTAAATCCTAAAACCAGAGTATTAAGTATAAATGCATATTTAAGTTATCACCAGCACAGTTGATACTAATTAACCCATAAATAAATTCTGGCATTAGAGAGATTTTGCTTCAGTTTTATGAATAATATATAAGAACATCCTATCAATATACAAAATTCAAACTTTTTATAATCTGTTTTTAATGTTTGTTTGATTTCATCTTCATTTTCCCCCAGTATGATTTACAGCCTTGGAAAGAAACCCTATAAGACAGTCCTTCTCTGCCCTGGAGAGTTGCTATGAGTGGGAATCTATTCACCAGCAGTGGGTTTGGTTTTAGGTTGCTGACATTAGAGAAATAATATGGTACATAGTTATGTAAATACTAAAATAATATAATGCATGTTTTTGAAATATATTTGTATATACTTTCCATCTCAAACTTAAATCCTCCTTCGGGTAAAGGGAGCTTCTGTAATTGATATTGAAGAGAATTATGGAATAAAATATCCCTGTTTACTTGTCCTTCTATGTTCCTTCTTTTTGCAGGGCTATGTTTGAAGTAAACATGAAAGAAAGAGATGATGGGAGTGTCACCATTACTAATTTGTCCTCTAAAGCAATAAAAGCATTTCTTGATTATGCCTATACTGGGAAAGCAAAGATAACAGATGATAATGTAGAAATGTTCTTTCAATTGTCATCATTTCTTCAAGTTTCCTTCCTAGCTAAAGCTTGCAGTGACTTTTTAATAAAGAGTATTGATCTTGTCAACTGCTTACAGTTATTATCAATATCAGATAGCTATGGCTCTACCCGCTTGTTTGATCATGCATTATACTTTGTACAACATCACTTTTCATTGTTATTTAAATCCACTGATTTCTTAGAGATGAATTTTGGAGTACTACAAAAATGTCTGGAATCAGATGAATTAAATGTACCTGAAGAAGAAACTGTTCTGAAAGTGGTCCTTAGTTGGACTAAACATAGCTTAGAATCAAGGAAGAAGCATCTGCCTAACTTGATGAAAACAGTGAGATTACATCAGTTATCTGAGGAGACACTCCAAGACTGTCTGCTTAGTGAAGAGTGTTTACTCAAAAGCACAGACTGCTTTGATGTAATCATGGATGCAATTAGGCGTGTGCAAGATTCTGGTGGACTTTTCCCTGATGCTCGGCCATCTACAACTGAAAAATATATATTTGTTCACAAAACAGAGGAGAATGGAGAAAATCAGTATACATTTTGCTATAATATTAAATCTGATTCATGGAAAATACTGCCACAATCACACCTGATTGATTTGCCAGGATCCAGCCTGTCTAGTTATGGGGAGAAAATCTTCCTGACAGGTGGTTGCAAAGGGAAGTGTTGTAGAACGGTTCGACTTCATATTGCTGAGTCATATCATGATGTCACTGATCAAACCTGGTGCTACTGTCCAGTCAAAAATGACTTCTTCTTGGTATCCAAAATGAAAACACCAAGGACCATGCATACATCAGTTATGGCTCTCAATAGATTATTTGTCATAGGAGGAAAAACTAGAGAATCTCAGGACATTAGAAGTCTCTTAGATGTTGAATCTTACGATCCTCTTTCCAAAGAATGGATGTCTGTTAGCCCATTGCCCCGAGGCATATACTACCCAGAAGCAAGCGCATGCCAAAACGTAATTTATGTTCTTGGATCAGAGGTAGAGATTACTGATGCCTTTAACCCTTCTCTTGATTGCTTTTTTAAATACAATGCAGCCACTGACCAGTGGTCTGAATTAGTAGCAGAGTTTGGGCAGTTTTTTCATGCAACACTAATTAAAGCAGTCCCAGTTAATTACACACTATATATATGTGACCTTTCCACATATAAGGTGTATAGCTTTTGTCCAGATACTTGTGTTTGGAAGGGTGAAGGATCATTTGAATGTGCTGGGTTTAATGCAGGTGCCATTGGAATTGAAGATAAAATTTACATATTAGGTGGTGATTATGCACCAGATGAAATCACAGATGAAGTGCAAGTCTACCACAGCAGCAGGTCTGAGTGGGAGGAAGTTTCACCAATGCCAAGAGCCTTAACTGAATTTTACTGTCAGGTGGTTCAGTTCAATAAATACAGGGACCCTTGGTTTTCTAATCCTTTCTAAACGTAGTATATTCTTGGAGATTCTAAAACTATTACAGTTCTAAAAACACAGTAAATTTGTTCACTGTAATGATGGGGTGGGGGGCTATTTATGTCTTTAAAAATGTCCCTGCTATTAGAGAACTGCTATGGCCGTACAGCATATACATATTAACAGTTCCTAGAAATGTAAGCTACAAAGTATGTTTTACCAAAAATCATCAATGAATGAATTGACTTTTTGAAAATACAAGGGTTTCATTGATGTTTTGATTTTTAAATTATCTATGAAAGGCTAGTAAAAACATGAAAGTTCACAGATTTGTACTATTTAGATGGGAGAAGTCTCTTTAGGTCATAGAAGCGTATAATTAAACTATTACTACATGAAGTAAAAATAAGTTAAGAGGTAAGAATCTTTCACTGTTACGTAGCCATTAAAAAGTTCTTGAGTTCCTATTCTTTCTGATAATTAGTTCTTTTACTATAATTTTATTCAGAGTTTTTTTTTTTATAAAGTATATTTCTCCAACCTTCTGAATGGTACAATAAACTTTTATTTTTATGATCTAGCTTTTCAATAAAATCATAATATACCATGTTTTAATGTCACTTTAGTTACTGAAATGCTTTTAAATTACTGAGTCTACTAAGTTCCAGTGGAAGTTGATTTCAGTCTCTAAGTAGTATCATATCTCTCTTACTTCTTATTTTCTGACCCAAACTTAGAAAACTAGCATTAATTCTTGTTGTTAAGTGTCATCAACGCAAAACAGCCCTGTATTGGGTTTCCAAGGAGCAACTGGTGGGTTTGAACTGTTGTTAGCAGTCCAGTACTTATCCTACAGTGCCACACTGGGACTCCTTAATTAAAGTGGTGGTTGGTGGTTATGTACCCTGGAGTCTGTTCCAACACACAGCTACCCTACATAGGGTTTCTGAGACTATAAATTTTTACAGGAGCAGAAAGTCTCATTTTAACTCGCAGAACAGCTGGTAGTGTCAAACTGCTGAGGTTAGCAACCCGACTCGTTATCACTTTGCTACTAGTTCTAAGTTAAAATTCACCTGACTTTATCTCAACATGTATTCCACTGAGAGAAGTTCTTAGAATATGGAATGATAGTCCTAAAATATTTTTTTTATCATTTCCAGGTTCTAATGTAATTGAGGATGTAAACAATCTGACCTCTAGATATGTTTCATTTTTTAAAACTTAAATGTACAAATTTGAGTTGTACTAAGACATTTCAAAGGAGCTCTGGTAGCATAGTGGTTACGAATTGGGCTAACTTGAAGGTTGGCAGTTCGAAACTACCAGTTCTGCGGGAGAAAAATGAGGCTTTCTGCTCCCGTAAAGATTTACAGCCTCGGAAACCCTGTAGAGGGCCGCTATGAGTCGGAACCGACTCCACGGCACATAACAACAACAAATTATTCATAGTGAATTACTTTCTGTATTTAAAAAATGACGGGCTTTTGGTATTGATGTTGTTATGTGCCGTGGAGTCGGGTCCGACTCATAGCGACCCTCTACAGGGTTTCCGAGGCTGTAAATCTTTACGGGAGCAGAAAGCCTCATTTTTCTCCCGCGGAACAGCTGGTAGTTTCGAACTGCTAACCTTGAGGATCGCAGCCCGATTCGTAACCACTACGCTACCTGTATTTGCAACACACATCTGTCTGGATGTTTAATCTTTCACCCAAATAATGCAAGAGTATCCATCATTCTTGTTCTCATTTAGGATAATTTTACCTTGCAAGGGGCTATCTTTCTTTAAGGCCCCTGACTTAAGTCTTGGGAAAGTATTGGTTGGAGTTCGCTGTAACCAGTTATAATTGCCTACAGCAAAAAGAGGACCATAAGTGAGAGGGATTGAAACCATGGCTACTACAGTGGTCTCAAACATCAACGACGGTGAGATTGGTGCAGGACTGGGCAGTGTTGTACATATGGTCACTATGAATCAAAACAGACTGTACAGTCCCTAATAATTACCCTTTATAGAACGTGTTCTGATGGTGCGCTGGGTAGGTGCTCAGCTGTTAACCAAAAAAACTGCTAACGTAAAGAACACACCTGGTGATCTAGTTTGGTAAAGATTGGTAATTTTGGTCGTCCAGTTGGTTCCGAGACTCATAGTCACTCTGTATAGGGTTTCCAACGCTGTAAATCTTTTTGGGAACAGAAAGCCTCATCTTTCTCCCAAGGAACCTATATTAACCCCATTGGTAGGACCCTCAGCTCTGAGCACCTAGCCCCTTCAGTTAGATTTGAACTGCTGACCCTTCATTTAGCATGCCAACACGTAACCTATTACATTACCAGGACTCCAGCCTAGGAAACCGTATGCGGCAGTTCTACTTTGTCATATAGGGTTACTCTGAGTGGGAATCAGTAAATGTTCATTTCTTAAAATGCACATAATCCTTAGAAATGTTTTCCTAGTGGGACTATACCTAGATGAAAGTTTATTTTTATTTTACCATATAAACTTGCAATCATAAATTCCCAACATATTTTTCAAAATAGAATGGAATATTAAATTGCACTGTGCAATTTCAAAATCAGTACTGTCTCTAATCACATGATAGTTTCATAAAAAGTAATGTGTAGAACTGATGGTCTTCCTATAATAGCGAAAGTGGTTGGCTCTCCCCTTTGCCATCCGTGTATACCTTAAAAACAAAACATTTAGTGGAGAAGTCTGTGTGTGTATGTCTTCAAAAACAAGTTATTTGAGAAGTTCCATAACGCAGCAGGTGTCCTACATGTGGATTTATTGAACTGTTAAATACATACAAATATACAAATCATGACTTAAAAAAAAAATACATATTGTATTAGTTGCTAAATCTAGGAACTGTCTCTTCCAGAAAAAGGAAACAAAATCCTATCCCTTCCAGATCTTGTTTCATTATTTTTCCCATTGGCCGCTGACTTAAGATAATGTTTTTAGAAATATCCTTCTAATTGCCTATTTGGTACCCTCTGCATTTGATTAAATACATTTTCTAATGTATAGTATTTTTTGCCTTAGGGTCTCTAACTGATTCAGATTATTAATCATTTTAATTTACTACCATCTCTATATAGCTATACCTTTGTTATCTTCATATTATGACTGGGAGAAATAATTTTGTCTAGTCATTACCTTCTCCCAAACTCTGCTTTTATTTACTCTTCTTTTTCTTTGACACTATAAACAGTCTTGGCTAGGCTTGACTCCATGAATAAGTGATTTCTTTCTCTCAGATTATGCATCTGCTCATAATGGTAGTATTTTCATCTATCTGCTTTATTAAAAATGTTTCTGCCTCTTTATAATCCTTAAATTGTTCATCGATACAAGTATAATCACAGGGATAGTGATTAAACTGATTATATTCATATCTTTCTGGTCTTGTCAATTACCATGACTTCACTGTAAAAGAACCATATATGTCATGTGGCTACACTCATTCAGGATCACTGAAGTACAATTCTGAATGATCCCCAAAAAGGAACTAATTTTCCTGTCCATAAAATTAGGTAAAAGGCAATAACAGCTATTTATCTGTGACTTTGCCTCCTTAGTCTTACATCTAATATTGCAATGTCTTCCAACATAGAAAGTAGGTACATGACATTATTAGATATAAAAAAGTTAAATTTTTGTGAGCTCAATTTTAAGTTAGTGAGTATTCCTAGAATGATCTTCAAACTTGAGTTAAACTGTGAAACACTTGGCCCAACTATAGCCTTTGGCACTAAGTAGTATAAAGACCATTTACATAATAAAAATTAACTACATTTCCATAATGCTCAGCTTTGGTATTGGGAGGGGAAGACTCACAACTGTCACTGCTACCCTGAAAGTTAGAATATGGTTTATGTAAGGGAGACCACTTGCTGTGATATGATTCTATTTTTTTCCCAATAACAAATGTAATTGAATGTGGGTTCCATATACTTTGCCTCAAAGTATACCATTTGAAAATCAGAATTATGTAAAGAGGGTAGCATCTGTTTTCATTTTGAGATTTGGAAGCAGGAGAAAGATGAGCCTTCCTACTCTCAGAATTATGTAAAGAGGGTAGCATCTGTTTTCATTTTGAGATTTGGAAGCAGGAGAAAGATGAGCCTTCCTACTCCTGCAGAGATTTACAGCATTGAAAACCCTATACAAAGTTGCTCTGAGTCGGAACCAACTTGACGACAATGGTTGGAACCAAAGTTAACAAAAATGGTGGTGGTTGTGTGCTGTGGAGTCAGTTCCGACTCATAGCGACCCTTTACAGGGTTTCTGAGGCTATAAATCTTTACGAGAGCAGAAAACCTCATCTTTCTCCTGCGGAACAGCTGGTAATTTTGAATTGCTGACCTTGAGGTTTGCAGGCCCATTCATAAACACTACGCTACCAGAGCTCCTTAACAATAACAATATGATACTATATATAATTTACCATAAGGTATCCTTTCTAAATTACGGATTCATTGAAACTTGAAAAGAACCTTAGGATATAATATAACTTCCAACCTGGTATAGAAAGTTCCTCTAAATTCTAGAACATCTTTGATGCATGTTTTGTTTTGTTTTTCCAAACTCTTTTAAAATATTCAGTGGTAAAGAGATCACTACCTTCATTTTGTAACAGTTGTTAGAAAATTCTTTCTAAATTGAAAATAATTCTGCCTTCCTCAATAACTTACAACGCTTGGACTGTGCTCTTAGTCCAGTTAAAAAGAGCATGTTTTTTGAAATTAAAACAAAGTCATAATTGAACAATCATGTGGACCAGATAGCTTTGTTCATTTCTTTAACTTCGATAACACCTCCAACCATGAGTCCTGCTAGCTCAACAAATTATGCTATTGACCCAAGGGTACCAAGGTTATTGTAATAACTCAAGAGTCTAGTTCTCTGCTAGTAGAGTATCACAGTATAGTGTAAATATTACTGTACAAGTCTGTCTTCCTCACTTAACTGGAAGCTCTGAGGAACAAGAACATAATACATTCATGATTTCTAGATCCAGCAACTAGCAGAGTACCTGTCATTTATAGGAATGACTATGTGAAACAAAATGTATTATAGTTATTGCTGGATGAATTTAATATATCTGTACATTTTGAAACATTTTCATGTACAAAGGAAGTTATTTTGATTTACATCAGAATCAGAATTTTACATTTTAGAATGCTAACAATTTGTACTTAAGCTACCTATTAATTTATATGTTAATTCTT